GCTCTGCGGGGTTTCTCATGTTCCACAAGGAGGACCCGCACGGCCCACAGCCGGTCGTGCCCCGGGCCCAGGGGCTGCCCCGCCAGAGCAGCAGCCTGCACTGAGCGTCACTCTGCGTGACCCTCCCCACAGTGGCAGACATGACCTCCTCCACACGCGCTCGGCACCCACCTGCGGCGGGAGCTGCACTTCTGCCTCCTTTCAGGCCCCAGGGAGGCTCCGGAACCCTGAGCTCGAGCATCCCCCTCCCGGACCTCTGCCTCTGCCTCTGCAAGCACAGGGGACCCTCTGGTTAAGACAGGAGCCACACAGGCCCCTTCTCAGTGACCAGAGCGGGATGACGCGGGCACACGTGGGTCTTCCGTCATATCTGTGTCCCGCCTCCCCAGGGCTGGCGCCATCCCGAGCAGAACGGGGAGCAGGGGTGGCAGACATGTCAGAGAGCCCCTCCATTCTCTGGGTCCCATGGCCCCAGAAGGTAGCCACTGGCCTGCCCTCGAGGGGTCTGCCTGGCCCGGCCTGGCCTCCGGCGCTGTCCACCTGCAGCCCAGAGCCGCCCGGGAAAGGATGGAGAAGGGCTTCTATGGCGGCGGGCGTGTCTGAGCCCACTGACACGCAGCCGGAACTCGGCCACCCCCGCCCAGCCCTGCTAAATGGCTACAGGTCGGAGGACAAAAGCAGAGGCTTTCAAGCAATTTCGCCTTCAATCTCTGGAAACCACGGCTCCCCGGAGCCCCTGTGCGCGATGGAGGAGGGGACACGGGGTCTGTCAGCTGCTCTCCGCAGTACATGCACGCGCCAAGGGGGGTCTCTCCTGGGGTCACCCAGGCCCAGCGCTGCCTGGTGCGTGCCTGCCCTCCCCCAGCTCTCGCCCGTGAACACCTGTGAGCCAGGGACCTCGTGGGTGTGAGCCGCAGGTGAACCAATCAGTAGCTGACGGCACCGGGGACGGCACGCTGCCCTGGCCACGCAGGCACTGGCCCACCCCCAGGCTGCCTGGCTGCCATCGGCACAGGAGGCAGTGGGAGCCCTAAAGAGCTTCTGCTGGCCCAGGGCCCTCCTAGCTGGGCCTCTCAGGGGACCGGTACTGGCTACGGGGTGCCCTGGGATGAAGACTAAGCTCTCAGGGTGTGAGCACACAACCCCATCCCCATCTTTCTGCAGAAGATCACATCATCCGAGAGACAGCACGTGACAAAAGATGGCTAAGGTCTCCCAGGCGAGGGTCCCAGAGCCCGGAGGTGTGGGGGCCCGGCCCTCCCCAAGCCTCCCACCCCAGCTCTTGGGACTGGGCTGTGGGTGTGAAGAGCCACTCCATCCCAGGTGCCACACAGGCCACACGCTGTGTCCTGGCAACACGTGGGGCTCCATTCTGCAGATGGGTGGCTGGGGGACGAGGTGTGACTCCACGCCCCTGCTCCTCCCTCCCAATCACGTTCTCCCCGAGCCTCACCAGAGTGGCCCCTGCAGGACTGTGCCCTCCTGGGGACAGGTCCTCTTTGCATGTGGCAGGCAGGGGTAGCCCCAGGATGGGCAGCCAGTGGGGCAACCAGAAGGGAGTCTGTGGACCTCAGCACCGGGCTTTGCCCCTGCTGACCTCAGTGCGTGCTCACTGTCTGCTCTGTTGTGCTCGGGAAGTGGCCTGTGCTGAGTCGGGGACGTGGGGAGAAGGGGCAGCAGGCGAGGCACCCCGAGGAGCCTGGATCTGGGTCAGAGAGGGCGGGACGGGGTGCCGTCCACTGGCAGGTCTGTGTGGAGGGCGGAGAGCCAGCCCTGCCAAGGGCACAGGCTCCTCCCCCTTCTGTCCCAGAAGTCTAGGAGGTCAGGCGGGCTTGGCCTCAGCTCCCCTCTGTAGGCAGAGGGTCTGCTCCAGGGGACAGCTGGGACAGCCATCGCTGAGGCCTCAGGGGCAGCGGCACTGGCTCACCCCGTGGGCAGGAAGCGGCCCCATTGCTGTGGGCCTCCCCAGTGCTGCCAAGACTGTCCCCGTCGTTGGTGCCACCTCCTCTCCGGACAGCACGGTGTTAACCTGGCATTAAGCACCTGGGCCTCCCGACCCCCGGCAGGCAGGGAGGTGGCGGGGCGCCCCGTTGCGCAGGACATGTGGAGATCGTCTTCTCTCCCAGATTCTCCGCTTCCTCTCTCACGGGGTGGGAAGGAGGCAGGGTCTGGGGCTCCCACCATGCGACCTAGGGTGGGTCCCTCAGCCCCTGGGACTGAACAGCTCACTGGGTCGTAGACAGTGTTTCTGAAGTGGGTTTACTCCTTCTGGGAAGTAGGAACCCCAGCGGGGTCCTCACCGCAGCCCACCCCAGTCCCTGTCCGCCGGGCTCAGGGTTTCAGGGGCTCGGGGGCCCGGGGGTCCCCGGAGGCTAACTCCGGCTTTCCTACAGGTGCAGTCCATCACCACCTGCCCAGCCGGCCCAGAACCTTGTCAGGAGCTGGAAACTCCTCCAGCACCGCCGTGAGGCAGCCGGGCTTCTGGGGAGGAACTCGGGCCGCACCTCCCCATGGAGCAAGTCTGTGCTGGGCACCTGCGCTCAACCAAGTGGCGCGAACCCCCGCAGCACTCCAGCGCTCCCTGTCTCAGAGCAGCTGGGTGTGAGGACCTCTTGCCCCGGGGAGACGGAGGCCAGGGAGGGCAGAGGCAGCCAGCCGGGCTGTGCAGGCAGGGGCAGAGCCCGGAGCAGGGGCAGTAGCAAGGCCAGCGGCCCATCCGGCTGTCCACGGCCCAAGCTGCTCTGGTGGAGCAAAGTGCGATCCCCGGGGTACAGGCGTCCCCTAGCTTGCCTGGCCCCTCGAGACCTCTGGATAAAAGACCATGCTGTGAGCCCCTAAAAGCCAGGGAAGGAGGAGACAGGTACGGGTCTCTCACCCATCAGAGGGGAGCGGAGGAGGCCCGGATGAGCTCCGAACAGGCTGTCAGAGAGCTGAGGGCCCTTGCTTCAAGGCGGCCAGAGCTGGAGGTGTGGCTGGGCCTGGGCTGGACGCTGGCTTGGAGGGGGTCTAGGGTGGTCCTAGGGGCTAAAAGTTGGGGAGTCTGGGGAAATCCTGCCACCTGCAGCCTGGGGCCCACAGGGAGGAGCTGGGCTACCGACGGAGGAAGGCACTCAGAAGGATGACAGGTGGCCTCCCAAGGAGGGTTAAGGCCAAGGGCACCTGGCCTGTGGCCACCAGCTATAGCTGGTTCAGGTGCCAACAGAGGCCTGAGGCCTGCAGGAGCCTTCTGGCAGGGGCGCCGGCACACTGGGGCTGGGGCACCTGGGACTCGTCGCCAACTGGGGGCAGGCACTGGAGGCAGGGGGCGGGCACCACAGCAGACACCGGGCACATCAGCGCGGGGCTGGGAACGAGGGTGCCGCGTACGCTAGCACGCTGCTGGTCATCTGGGTCTGAGCCCACGCCCAGCACAGACCGTTAGACATGCCCGGAGAGCTGAGCGGTCTCAGAGACGATCAGCCCTGGTGGAGACAGTGAGGATGCGGGCGGCGGCAGTGGGATGAGGTCGGGGCCGCTGTTTCTCGGCACATCTGTTAGTATGGCCGGCCTTTGTCAATGCCAGAGGGGGTGTGTGCACCAGAGGGGGCGGGGGGGGATGCCCCTTCAGGGCCCGGTCCTGCCGCTGTACTTCTCCCCCCATCCCATCAGGGTCCTGGGCACCTACACACACGTCCCTAACAGGCCACGGGCGAGGACCTGAGCCACAGTCGGCTGTGCAGAAGCCAGCCCCACTGCACTGCATCTGACCACCGGACTCAGGCTGCCCGCCCCTGCCTTTGAACAGGTTTCAAAGCAAGAGAGACCACACACACCTCACTCGCATGCACTTTCTTCCCACCGGGGTCTGGCTGAGAACGAGGCCGGTGCAGCCACAGCGCCCCCGTGCTGAGCAGGGGCTGACTGCACTCATCGGCACCTCTTCTGGTCAGGAGTGCAGCAGTGGCCAGGAGACACCATGCCCTGCTACCAGGGCTGTGGCCGACGGTGCGGGCGGGGTCCCACGAGGACAAGTCCAGAGGGGACAAGGGGAAACACATCGGCCGCAGGGCAGGGGTGGGGATGTTCTGGAACTGGACGGCGGTGGCCAACACATGGCCTCGTGAGCACGCTGAAGCCACTCAGCTGCAGCTCCATGTGAGTCCCCTGGTACGGGAGTCACATCCCCATTTGAAACATTACCGTGGCAAAACTTTATTTCTAAAACACGAGAAAGGAGTCAGGAGACTTCGTGATTACCCTCCTAAATGGAAAGAATGCTAGAAATTCCCAATCACTAAAACATGATAGCAGGGACCAGCAGTTAGCGTAATGGCTATGTTGCTGGACTCCCACCCAGGCG